CCGTACACCAAAAGGTGACAGGTTCCATTCCAGGTCAGGGCACATACCTAGGTTGCGAACTCAATTCCCAGTTGGGGTGGGTATGGGAGGCAACCGATCGATGTTTCTCCCTCTCTCTCTCTCACTCTCTCCCCCCCCCTAAAATCAATAAAAAATATCCTCAGGTGATAATTTTTTAAAAGAGAAAGTAATGTTGTAAGTCAAATCACTATGCTGCACACCTACCAGTAAATTTATAAAGTGCTGAATGTCGATTATATTTCAATAAAACCGGGGAAAAAGAAATTAGCGTTAAGCGTTTTAAGTCTCATCATGACACTGTGGCTATGGGATTTACTAAGCGTCTTTGTAGAGAAATGCAGTTGCTGCTGCGGAGCAATGGAGGGTGGGTGGGGAGCAGACGGAGGTGAACAGCTGAGACTTGTTGACACAAATGGTGCCTAATGCCCCAGCTGTTCAGGGCTCCACGGCTGCTGTGAGCAGGTTGTCATGTGCAGCCCCCGCCACAAGGTGGCAGCAGAGTACCGGCTAGTTCGGGGGTCCATGCTGGCGGCTTGTGGCGCCCACTTAGAGAGAGTGTGGGGGAGGGGTGCGCAGCGACAAACGTGCTTGGGGGCTTTTGGCTTCTTTCGGGGCTGCTGCCCCAGATAAAACCCACTTCTGGCTGTGGTACCGATCCAGACGCTCAATCCAGATCAATCAATGAACCAGAATGACGTCTAGTCCACGTTAGCAACCTCCCCTCCCCTGTGCCCCAGGTCCCATTAGCTTGGTCCTCCTCCACCTGCCAGGGCAGAATTCAGGGAGCACAGAGGGGGGCTCAAGCTTATACTTCCCCCTGCAAATCACTGGATGACTCTCTCCCCGCCCTCCACTCCTCATAATAACCGATTTAGCAAAAATACCGACACCCTGTTCAATCTGAATTTCAGATAAATAACCCATCTCTGTTAGGGAGAAGGGTGTCCCATGCAATATTTGAGATAAACTTATACGGAAAAAAAAGAAAGATTCATTTATCTAAAACTCCACTTAATTGGGTGTCTTGTGTCCTCTAGAATGAACTGCTTCCGCTCTGCCACTGGGAGTTCTGTTAGTGGCTCCTGTCCCTCAGACCGTTGGAGGGCCGGACTATAGTTTAAAAAAAAACTATGAACAAATTCCTATGCACACAGCGGCGGCAAAAACACCCGGCGGGCTGGATAAATGTTTTCGGAGGGCCGCATGTGGCCCGAGGGCCGTAGTTTGAGGACCCCTGTCCCAGGCCCTCTCCCGCCCCCGCCATTGTGCCCACTTCCTTTGGGACCCTGATTTGAGCTCCAGCCTCCACTTCCTTCCCAAGAACTCTCTACTACTCCCCTCCCCCCGCCCCAGGCCCCTAACCCTAGCCCCCAGGGGCTGCCCTTTCTCTTTGTGATCTCCACAGCCTCACCTCCCGCCACCTCCACCCCCCTCAGTCTGGCTGTGGCCTGACCTCACCCCAGATCACCTGGGGCCACTGCAGCCCTGTCCAGCTTCACCACTGAACTGTGGGCCGGGCCAGGTTAAGCAACGCTTCCCACCTGTATCGTCTCCCGTGACTGCCAGAGCAAATAGCCACGAAGTGGGCATCTTAAAACAATTGGCACTTTTCCTCTCAAGGTACCGGAGGTCAGAAGCCCCAAATCAAGGTGTGGCAGGGCCCTGCTCCCGCCCCAGGCTCCAGGGGAGGGTCCTTCCTGCCTCTTCTGGCTTCGGGGGAGGGATCTGGGCCTCCCTTGGCCTGTGACCTCACCCCCCCAGCCTCTGCCTTGTCGTCCTCCCCACACAGTGTCCGAGTTAGAAATCTCCTGCTACATCTGCATGTCTGTCTCTCCTCTTCTGCCCCTTACAAGGATACTCGTCATTGGACGTAGGACCACCCCAATCCAGAATGACCTCATCTCAAGAGCCTTACCAGCCTCTGCCTTGTCGTCCTCCCCACACGGTGTCCGAGTCAGAAATCTCCCGCTACATCTGCATGTCTGTCTCTCTTCTGCCCCTTACAAGGATACTCGTCATTGGACTTAGGGCCACCCCAATCCAGAATGACCTCATCTCAAGAGCCTTAATTATATATCCACAAGGACCCTTCCTCCAAATAAGGTCCCGATCACAGGTCTGGGGGATAAATCTTTACGGCTTGACCCCCTGAGCCTCACCAAAGCCGGGAGTGTGGACGTGGGATCACCTGGTTTTACAGATGGGGAATCCCAGACAGGGCTGGGCTGGCCCCCCGCACGTGTGTGGCTTTTCCTGATCCCACCCCATGCCCGAGGCCCCGAGCAGGATTCAGCCCTCCAGGTGCTTCCACGCAGCCAGAGGGTCTGATGTGATGACACGGGGTTCACTGTCCTTGGGGTTCCCTGTCCACCTGTGGTTTTCTCAGCGTCTCTTGGTGTTGCCCCTCCTGACCTGTGTCGCAAGCCCCTTGTTTCCTCTTGGAAGCCCTCCAGGCTGCTCTCGCTTGCCTAGTGGGCTGTCCCCCAGACCTCTCATTGCCCACTCCTCAGGCCAGCAGCCAGCGGAGACCTTGTCCTCAGAGCCCCTCCCTGTCACCGAGTTCCCCACCCACCCTTCCTTCACTCCAGAGCTTCCTTCCTTCCTTTGGAAGTTGGGTGGTGCCCAACTACTGACGGTCCACCCCTGGCCACCCCAGTCCTCGCCTCCATGCCAACTGGCCCCAGAAGTGTGTCTGGTGGCCGAATGGGCCAGGTCCCAACTAGACTTAAGGTGAGTGGGGGACACCTGTGGCTCATCACTCGGATATCCTTTTGGGATGGGAGGTATTAGGACCCAGGAGGCAGATTCCCAGACCTCAGCATCCCCATCTGCACAGAGACAGGTGGATCCTGTCTAGGGGGGACTGGGGGCCCAACCACACCACAGAGCTGGGAAGGTGCCCCAAGAAGGGAGCCTGGCACTGCCACTTCCACAGCGGCCATCACTGACCCCACGGTTGGCCAGCCCCAGTCTCAGGGAAGGGGGGCCTGGCAGGACCAACAGATCTCATGTTCTCGTCTGGAACAGGCAGAGCCTGGCTTGCAGTAGAACCTAGAATGGGGTACCCCAAATTCCTTTATCTGGAAGATGGAAGGTGAGGAGCTGGGTCTGAGGGTCCCTCCCACAACCCAACCTCTCCACGCCCACCGGCCCCACACCACGCCAAGGGCTCGCACGTCATAAAAAGACTTTATTAAGAAGGCTTTGGAGTCAAAAAATAAAACTCTTGATACAATTTTCTGAACCCTTAAGTCAGCTCAGCAAATATATAATCAGTAATTTAGCTGCGTAAGATTAAAGGTCCGTTACTTTAAAATAAAATATATTTTAGTTCTTAAAATTTATTCCATAAAGTACATACATATTTCCCTATAAATTTGCTACATATACACAAGAGGTAAAAAGTAAAAGTAAAAAAAAAAAAAAACAATTAAAAAAATTTAAAAAACGGACAACATAAACCACAGCAGAAGAGGATTAATAATTAAAAATAAAAAAGTTAGAAATTTC